CACGCTCTGAGTCCGAGTTGACACCGTGGCAGGGAGTTGGGCGTTTGTTGTTGCTGTTCAGGGACAAGCCCCCTAACCTTGATTCTTTAACCTTTACAAAGAAATGGTTAGAGCAGTGATTTCAAAGGTCTTTCGTAGTTCCAAATGTGTGGGTAAATCATCAGTAAAGTGGTCTATGTCTATTGCTGTACTCTGCATATCCTCATGTTTTATACTTGCTAAGCAGCCCTCACTGGGTTATATTATCACATGATCGCAGAGGCAGTGTGTCCATTTCTACTGTCTGCTCAGTGAGTTTTCAGAAAAAATGCTAACTGTTAATGCTTACTTTTTGTGACTGAGACTCCTATAATAAGGAACCGGAAATGATCTCCCTGGTACTTTCAGAAATGATAGACTTCCTAGTACTTTGCGTTACTCTGGAAATGATAATAGATTTGAGGATGCCCGTCTTGGAAAGAGGAGAGCCATTGAATATATAAACTCAGTGTATAAAGCCAAGATTGGCTGTTGGCTTTTAGAAGTTGCGTTTTAGTTTTGAAGTTTCAGCATTTTCCATTTCGCATTTGTGCTCCCCTGAGTAGCTGATGGCACCATGCACTGTCCATCCTCATGTAAGAATGGCAACTCTGTCCAGGAGCCCTGATGACTCAGTGACTCAGTGCTTGGCCGCTAACCGATAGGTCAGGGGTTCCGTCCCACTCGCTGGGCCGCAGGGGAGAGGAGTCAGAGCCTGTTCTGTAAGACCTTGACTTCAGGAACTCTGGGGGCCGCTCCGCCCTGTCCTGGGAGAGGCCCGTGAGTTGGTGTTGACTCCGTGGCAATGAGTTTGGGGTTTTATATAAAAACATAACTTTATCAAAAGTAAAACTCCGTCACTGTCTTGATCAGGTAAACGTTGTAATGTTATGTGTGACAGAGGTAGTGTTTCAGGCAAATTGCTGAAAATAAAAATCGTATCATTTGTCCAGTGCTTTGTATTCCCTCTGTTCTAGAAGTAAGCAGTCAGCTGGCTCAGGCTAAACAGCAACAATACAAACAGCTCACTGCCACGGAGCCCATTCTGCCCGAGAGCCACCCGATAGGACAGTGGGGGGCTGCCCCAGTGGGTCTCCAAGGCTCTGGGGGCAGTTGGGGTGCTCAACCTGCTGGTCTTGTGGCTCCCAGCCCAGCTTGTAACCCGCTGCGCCCACCCGCAGGGCTCCCAGTCTGCTGGCTCTTGCTCTCACAGCCGTCGTGTCCGTGTTGACTTGTCGCGAGAACCCCAGGATGTCCGAGACTGTGCATGTTTACGGGAGTAGAACGCCCAGGCCTTCTCCCTACAAGTCCGCAGAGAGCAGCCCAATTTGCAGTAGTGTAGCGGATTGGTGTCAACCAGTGAGGTGACTCATGGTATCGACTGCTGCACCCCACTCCCCATGGACCTCTTTCTGTGCCACGCCATCCAGAGTACTTAGTAATGTTTATTATAAACTTTCAACACAGAGTCAGCCCCCACACACTGCCATCAATTCAGTTCCAACTGACAGCGACCCGTCTCGGGTTGGTTTCCAAGACTATCGATCTGTATCGGAGCAAAAGAGTCTCCTCTTTCTCCTATGCGGTGACTGGTGGGTTTGACTCACCAACCCTGTGGTTGGCAATCCCTTGCTGAGCAACAATGCCACGAGGGCCTCACGAACATATAATAATATGGGATCAATATCGTTATCAATGAGTACATGGAATACTTCCTAACAACAACGTTTTACAATTGTCTTACTACCTTGAAGGACGTTATTAGGCATACCCTTACTAGAAACTGAACAGAAGCCGCCCCCTCCCTTATTCATTAATCACGACTTCATTCTCCAAAATGTTATTGACAGAGGGGCATGTGTACTAATTAGTTCAGCCCATTACTACCTGGACACAGGGACTCTTCGCAGCACCTGGCCCGTCCACAGGGGCGCTAAGCATGTACTGGTGCTTTCCCTGCTGCCATGGGGAGTGATGGTTCTGTCCAAATGCCCAGGGACGCAGGTGTCAGGCTGAACTGGCTCGTTTCCTACATGAGACCCTTCTGCAAGGGGATCTCCAGTGGCCTACAAATGGGCTTTGGGTCTCCACTCCGCACTCCCCCCATCATTCACTATGATATGATTTTTTGTTCTGATGATGCCTTATACCTACCTGGTCCCTTCGACACCTCGTGATCGCATAGGCTGGTGTGCTTCTTCCATGTGGGCTTTGTTGCTGCTGAGCTAGATGACCGCTTGTTTATCTTCAAGCCTTTAAGACCCCAGGCGCTACATCTTTTGATAGCCGGGCACTATCAGCTTTCTTCACCACATTTGCTTATGCACCCATTTGTCTTCAGTGATTGTATCAGAGAGGTGAGCACACAATGATATGATTTTTTGTTCTTTGATGCCTGATAACTGATCCCTTTGACACCTCGTGATCACACAGGCTGGTGTGCTTCTTCCATGTGGGCTTCGTTGCTTCTGAGCTAGATGGCCGCTTGTTTACCTTCAAGCCGTTAAGACTGTCTCTTACTTACAGGAGAATTTCCTCAGGAATTTCCACTGGAGCCTTCCCTGTTGGGCGACGGCGACAACGTAGGAGAAGAGAGTGACCAGTTTATTGAAGGAGCAGATGTCCTCAGTTCTGAATTCATGAACTACATTAAGGCAAGTTGGGGATCACCTGAGTCATTACTCATCTTCTAATGTTTGAAGCCTTAAAAGCTAAGTTCAAGGGCACCAGTCCGTTACCTTATGGAGCTCGGGTGTAGTACAGGTTATGTGTGGGGCTGCAGTCTCATGGTTGTCTGTTCAAAACCACCGGCAGCTCCGCAGGAGAGAGGCTGGGCTTTCTACTCCTGTAAACAGTTACAGCCTCAGAAACCCACCGGAGGCTGCTGTGTGTTAGCAAGGACTCAATGACGGTGAGAACCCAGTACCGTGAATATCAGCTGACATCGGAATGCCTTCTCAAAGGTCAGCGTAAACGGTGACCTTTTTGTCGGTTTGTTGGTTCCCGCCGCACATGCTGTTCTGTGTCATTTCCATTTATAATGAACAGTCGGCGTGCCGTGCCATTGACCACCCAGAAAGACTCAAACGGACACCGATCCACATCCTTCTCAAGACGTCCTGGGCAACCGTTCCTGGGAGGAGATCTATAGGTAGTGTGGTCCTTGTTCGCTGCCAGCAAGATGCCCATCAGCTCCCACGGGCAGCGGGATTAGACTGTTTTCATGGCTGTTCTTGGACGGAGTATTTGCAGACCTTTTCTGCTCAGTCCAGCTTAGTCCCAAAGTTCTGCTGAAACCATGGCAACAGGCCCGCTTCCCCAGACAGACACTTTCTTACGAAAGTAGCCGTCACCTGACTCTGCAGTGGGTTACAAGCAAAGCTCTGTGTTGAGTTTCAGGACCTTGCCATCCCCCGCGTTGACAGTCTAAGCATGTCCCCAAATGCCAGCAGGTGTGTGGTATCGTGCAGTCCCTTGACCTTCAGGTGCTGTGTGGTTTCTCTCTCTTTTGTTTTCATCGTTTTCGTAGGGGCTCATACCACGCTTATCACAATCCATCCATGCATCAATTGCGTAAAGCGCATTTGTACATTCATGGCCCTCATCATTCTCAAAACATTTGCTCTCCACCTAAGCCCCTGGTATCAGCTCCTCATTTTTCCCCCTCCCTCCCCTCTCCCCCCTCTTTCATGAACCGTTGAATGAATCAGTGCCTTGTATTCCTGGCATAGTGGGTCATGGGTGGTTGTGCTAACGTCAAGGTCAGTAGTTTGAAACCACCAGCCAGTCTGTGGGAGGGAGATGAGACTTTCTGTTCCCATCAAGAATTGTAGTCTCCAAGACCACAGCCACAGTTCTCTGTTCTGCAGGGTGGCCACGAATCAGAACCAGCCTGGTGGCAGCCGGTTGGCTTTGGGTTTGGTTTATTCTTACAATTCCAGTTGTCTCAGATTGAAAGGAACCAAACACCCGTCAGTCTCACTTTGCCTTCCAAATAAAATAGATGGCTTATCTGGTTGCCTCCTTTGAGCTGGAAGGGAATGCCTAGAGCCCAGTAGCGAAGGCCATCAGGAAGAAATGAGCTGCCTTCCGTTGTTTCTGGTAGGCTACACTCCTCCACGGACAAACAGCGCATCCTTCTGAGACTGACACGGCTATTCGTGTGTCAGATGTCCCCAGTACCACACGTGCAGTCATGTAGACAATGCACCCAGTGCTTTCCTCGCCAGAGCCCGTGCTGCGCAGCCAGCCACCTGCCCAGGAAAGGACCTGCCCTTGGTGACACATCTGGAGAACCGGCTGGCCCTCACGTCAGCTGAGGATGTGCCTGAACCTTGACACGGAGCACTGGCCTTTGGTCAGCTTTCCTTCCTTGCCGGAAAGTGCGCGCCCGGTCAGGGAGGGTGGCTTCCGTTCTGTCATTGAGTGCAAGCGGCATCTTCCTGTGCCCGGGATGGAGGTGGAGGGACATGTAGGGAAGCCGCGTGGGGGACCCGCCTTTCTAAAAACACCCACCAACTGCTCGCCTCCTTTTGGGAAAGGAGTGCAGTGAGCAGCTCCGTGCACGCGACTGTTGAGCACATGGACACGGTTCGATGCGATGTGAGGCCTTCTCCATTGGTGTGTATGCTCTTCTATCATCTCACCACCACCCGCCCTTCCTCACGGCACACACACCTTGTCAACACACACACACCTTGTCAGTGTGCCTGTGTCCGCAGTGCATACACACACCCCTTCTTAGTGCCCGTACTTACACATAGGCAAAGCCCTTTTCAGTATGGACAGACAGTCTTAGTACAGAAACACCCACCTTCCTCCTTGAAAAGAGGGTCCCCCCCCCTCGCCCCCCAGACACACACTTCTCCTCAAACACAAAGCCCCACTGCCATCGATTCAATGCTGATCCCGTAAGAACAGAGTAGAACTGCCCCTTGGGGTTTCTGAGGGTGTAACCCTGAGGGGGTGGAAAGCCTCCTCTTTCACCCCTGCAGCAGTGGGTGGACTCAGTTTGCTGACCTCCTAGTAAGCACCCCGTTTGTAATCCACTGCACAGCATGACCATAACCTCCTAAACATGCACCCGCCCACTCCCAGACACCCCGCCTCCCTGCAGGGAGCACACACCTCCCCTCATACTGCAGCACATACTTGTCCACAACACACCAGCCCACCTCTCCTCCGACACACCCAGTGCTACACACATCCCTTCTCAATACACACACCTTTCCCCCTCACACATGTGCAGACCCGCCTCACTGGCCCACTCCCTTCCTCAGTACATTCACACACCGATCCTTCTGCATACCCACACCCACACCTGCCCTTCTCAGCACACGTCCTCTGTAACACACCTCTCCTCGGACACACAGACTTCTGTTCATACACGCACCCTGCCACTCTCGCTCTGACACGCACATTCGCGCGCACACACACACACACACACACACACACACATCCTTCTGTACAGCCATAGCCACACCTACCCCTCCTCAGTGCACGTCCATCTCTGTCTAACACACCTCTCTTCGGACACACAGACCTCTGTTCACACATGCACCCCGCCTCTGCCTCTCTGTCTCTCTGTCTCTCTCTCACACACACAGAGGTATCTCTCTCGCTCTCTCATACACAACACACACACACCCCTCTTCAGTACACAAAAAGGCTCTTCCTGCACGTGCAAGCACACACCCCTCCTGAGCACGCACACACCCCTCCTGAGCACGCACACACACCTGTCAGAACAGGAGGGAGCATGCGCGACTGACCAGCCCATGGAATAATCTGAGCCCCAGTCCAGTCTAAAGACAATAGGAGGTGCCGTTAAATGTAACCCCTCTGAGTCTGTGCTAACCCGGGCCCGGCGCAGTTTCTGACTGCCCACGAGCTGTGGTTCTCAGCAGTCCCGTGTGTTCCCGTCCCCAGGGCCGGGCAGAAGACTGCGAGGAACTACTGAGGATAGAAGAGGACAGCCCCTGGCCGCCAGAAGGACTGTGAGTACAGGCCCCCACCAGCCTCCAGCCCCGGGAAGCTCACGGTCATGACCAGGCTCTCAGCGCTAGCTTTGGGCGGGCTATTTTTTTTACAGCGTTGGTCAGCTGCGGTCTTCGCATGGCTGACGCTTAATGTCCTCGGCAAGAGGAGGGCCAGGGCTTAACGTCCTCCTTGGTCCTTGGTGCTCTTTGACTTGAGCTTGAAAGCCGGTAGAATTTCTTTACTGGACATTCTAGATTCCTCCTGAGACCCGTGGAATTCTCTCCCCTTCTTTAATGTGAAGGGAAGTCCGAGAACGCCATCGCTGCTTCCTGCTCTGCACGCAGTTCTGATGGCGATGATGGTGGCACCACTCGTGGAATACTGGCCTTCATGCTCCTGTGCGGGAGTTCTCTTCTCGCCCCCATTCCACAGGCGGGAAACTGAGGCACCGAGGGACTTCTCTTTCCCCAAGGGCAGAGAAGGGCGAGGCCAAGATTGCAACCCACGTTGACATCCGCCATACTCCAGCCCCTAAAGTCTTGCTTGGCAAGACTTACAAGGGACAGTGTGCATGATCTGTTGGCTGGTGGAATGTCCTGGGGACTTTCCCCGGTCAGAGGAGACCTGGTGGGGTAGTGGTTACATGTCGGACTGCCATCCTCCTGGTGGGCAGTTTGAAACCAGCAGCAGCTCCGAGGGAGAAAGACTGGGCTGTTGACTCTTGGAAATGGTTCCAGTCTCAGAAAGTCACAGGCGTTGACTGAATCAGCACTGACTCAATGGCAGTGAGTGTTTGCTTTTAGCTGGTAGCGTAGAGCCGATTTCTGCTCCCTAAGATTTTGTGTTGTCTCGACTCTGGAATGTCAACGTCGATCTGCCCTTGCGCTTTGTAGGGTTTCTTCCCCTCGTGATGGGCCACCTTGCTGGAAAGTTCAGTGGAAAGCGGTACTTGTCTTAGGCAGCGGCTAGAGCGTTGGTCTCTGACCTGTGGTGGCCCCATGCACAACAAAGCAAACCGCTGGGTGGTCCCGTGCCATCCCCCTGACTTATTCTGAGCCAGACCACTGATCGTAGGGATCGCCTTGCCTGGTTTCTTGCAGTAGATTGCCAGGCGTTTCTTCCTAGCCCATCTTGGTGGACCCACTTCAGCGTCACAGACAGCAACAGACAAGATCCCCTGACAGGTGGGCGGTGGCTGTGCTTGAGGGACGTGGGCCTGGGATCGCACTGAGTCTCCCTGTAGAAACCAAGAACTCTACCCCGGACCGCCAGCACCTCTGTGGGGAGCAGTTAACACGATCAAACATCGATTGCCCTTTAAATCAGTACACTGCCGTGTGGTGTGTTAGTCTGGGTACTTTGGAGAAACAAATCCACAGCAACTCAGGTATAAGAGAGAGTTTGATGTAAAGAAAGTGAGCATCATGAAAACATCCCAACCCAATGCTGCCCAAGCCCACAAGTCCAACATTAACCCTTTAACCCAGCACCAGTCCACAAAGTCCTCCACCTCACAAAACAGAGGCAATGATGCCGACTGCAGGGGGAAAGCTGAGTCAGTGAACGAACAAGCATCTCAGCACTAGCAGGGGTCTCCACACGGCTGCTCCAGCACCCAGGGCTGCATCAGGATAGGTCCATGTGGCTTCTCCTTGGGGATGTCTTGTAGGAAGTCAATCTTGCAAGCTGAAGCAGGGAACTGCTAAGGCAGCTGCACCCAGTGCAACCATCACAAAGCAAGAGACCCGAGAACTAGAAAGGCGAGGCTTCACCACCCATTTATCCCTCCGCCTTTCAATTAGCCCCACATGTGATTATCGGCCAGGCTGGCCCAATTAAGTAACTCATGTGGCTTTTGAGTCATGGCCTGTACTACCAGTGATGCGTTGGCTGTGTTTTAGGAGCATGGATATTATATATTATATATTGCTCTCCTGATTGCTCTCATCCTGTGTTTGGCTTTGTGTTGCAGAGTAAATTCATCCAAAGCCCAGGGCATGGACATAGCAATGATCGAGCAGCTGAGAGAAGCCGTGGATCTGCTGCAGGATCCCGACAGGTCGGTGTGTTTTCCTGGGCCTGGGTCCCAAGGATAAATCCTGCACCCTCACACATTGGGCCCATCAGCTCAGATTTCAAAATATTTATACACACAATTTGAGTGCAGTCTCCTCACTAAAAAGCCAAACAGGCATGCTTTTAATTGCCTGTTCCCCTAAGAACTGAACTTTTAGAAATAATTAATACTCATTCTCCTCTGCCCCACCAAAATTCCAATAGAAATTTTTGGTATAATTCTTAGAAATCAGATGTAATAAAAGTACAGGTTTTATATTGGTCAACCTCAGCACCCTTGATTTATAAAAGTGTCAGGGACCAAAGAATTGGTATATCAAGTACTACCATCTTTATATCTGGCTGTGCCTAATACAGAAAGTGTGCATTAGCCCAACGATGTAGGTTCCAGGATAATCTCTCTCTTTGGCCTGGGCTTCACCAATAACAGATACTGGATGCAGGGAATATGATCTTTAGTATCAGCTAAGGACAATGCACTTCCTGTGGGCAGTGTATCTTGTAGCATACAATGACTAATTTACTGTGGAATCAACCCTTCCTCGTGTGTGTCAGATTAGAATTGTGGGGTTTTTTGAAAATAGATCACCAGGCCTTTCTTCCAAGGTTCCTCTGAGTGGGCACAAACCTTCAACTTTTCAATCATCAGCCAAGCATGCATCAGCCAGGAATGAATAACTACCTTACTGTCAGAGGCATGGAGCCAAGGCATATCCCGGTAGCCTTCTTGGGAGTCTTGGAATGTCCTTAGGAAGGTGGTGACCGTGGCATGGACACCACAGCAAGCCCAGCTGGATTCTTGGGCTGTGAGGCTCATGGTGTCAGGGTGAGCACCCAGCCACCCTTGCGGCAGAGTGAGGCCCAGCACCCATGGCTGAAAAACTCCAGCTACTGACTTGAACGCGTTTCCATTCTGTAGACATTCATTGAGTGCTCAGAGAGCAGGAAGATGGTCAGCGGGCACCTTGGGGGGGGTATAAAGTAAACAAGCCCTTGTCCTGGCACCCTGAAAACTTGAACTATCACTAGCTGGAGCTTGCCTTGAGCAGTTATTTATAAGTATGGCTGACTTAAGAGCGTGGGGTGGAGGTCCCCTGATGCCACGGAGTCAGCTCCAGGCTTATGGGTGTCAGAGTGGATGGGCACTAAAGCCGAGTTTCAGAAGTAGGTCACCAGGCCTTTGTTCTCAGGCCCCTCTGGGTGGACTCAGATCCCTAACCTTTTAACGAGCAAGACCAAGTGCATTCACCATTTGCCCCAGGGCCTCCAGGTGCACGTAGCAGAGGCATGGGAATCCGTCAGAATCCATTAGAAAGCCACTGACAGAAAGCAAGGCAGGACTCCTCTCTCCTGCCTCGGTTGCATCAGGCTTCAGGAGAAGTGGGTGGTTCCTGCCTAGCTTTGAAAGGCCTGAGCCCAAGGTTGCTACCATGGTTGAGAGGGTTGGGATAGTAGGTGTGTTTCACCTTGGGAGCACAACAGCCCTGAGTCACCTTCCAAGTGACTTCAGATTTGCATCTTTATGAGTGCTGTTTTGAAATTATATTATGTTGTAAAAGTTTACATGGACTTCGCTTCCTCCCTAATAAGATAATCCACACCTTCGGCTGCCTTAGATCCTTGTTTGTGCTGAAATAATTATTACAGATGGACAGTTCTAATTTTATATTCATGTTTCTGTGAGCCACTGTAAGAGTGGAAAAGCAAGGGTCTGAATTTTGCTCTTTATAAAGAGTGAGCACGTCACCTGTTTTGGGACTGAATATTAGTAATGAAAATGTTTGCATACACATTGGATTTTCCCCTTACCTCATATTTCATAGAGACAGGGTTTTGTTTTACCTCTAAATTATACTTCTAAATTGTCTTTTTACTTTTGGATTCAATTTTAGAGCCCTGTGTTTTATAGAACCTCAACATCAGACATTATCATCAGTTTGTTTCTGTCTAGTTTTGCCTTTTTCTCGTGTGTGTGTCTTTTATCTCTTAAGGGGTTTTGATAGTCTGTTTTACAGCATTTTCAGTAGTAATGTATAATGAGAACCAGTCCTGACACTTTCAAATAGCTCTATAACTTTTTTATGAATTGTAAGGAAATCTGGTTTGATATAAAACCGGAGAAACCAAACCCACTTCCGTGGCCTTGGGTCAGCCGCACACGTAGTAACTGTGCAGCGTTTCTGAGAGTGCACATCTTCCTGTGATGAGCAGCAGCCTCATCCTTCTCCTGTGCTGGATTCAAACTGCTGACTTAGCAGTCAGCAGCTCCACCCCTCACCCACTGCGCCAACAGGGCTCCTTTCCTGAGTGTATGCGTCTTGAAACAAAAAACAGCCCACCTCTTGAAATTGCAGAAATTCAAAATCGATATGCGAGACAGTGTCAGAAATATCAATTGTATATTGAGTTGCTTAGGGATTCTTAAGTTTACGGGAATGATGTTGTAGATATTAAAGAGTTCTGCCTATTAAAATGAAATACCCCCGGAGGAATATACCATGTCTTACCTTTCGAAACGTTACCTGCTTCTGTAGATGAGCAAAGTTCTCGGATACAAAGTAGTCTGAGATACCTAATTTCTTTGTCAGAAACTCCTGTTGTAGAATAGCATGTTTCGCTGACAGCCACCTGTCAGGCCTTTTTTGTGAGGTAGCTCCCAGTAGACGTGAACCTCCAACTGTTTGCTTCCAACAGCAGATGGGAATTGATTTTTTGGCATGTGGTAGAAAAATACCATGTGGTGCGAAAATTGGCATAAATTCTCACCACTTAGTCATAAGGGTTCCTGGAAGTTTTGGGGTTTTTTTTCATGGTAGCCTGCTCACCTCAGCCCCGCCTGGTGGTCCACATGGTGATGGGAGACCAGAGGGCAGGAGAGAGGGGGAGGAGATGGAGGAAAAGGGGAAAGGGAACAGGGGAATGAGGACTGGAGAGGAGAGGGGGAACCGATGAGAGGCCAAGGAGGAATCTTCATTGCTAACCCAGGCTTATATACTTTAGGGGGGCATGCAAGCCCACTAACTACAAGTAAAGACATACATCACAGGAAGGGGTTGCACTGTAGGTTATACAGCAGTGAGAAGCGGACAATCTAGGAGTATCCGTGCAGTAGGAAGAGGAGGGATTGGGGTACACATGTGACAAGAAGGGCGGATCCTAGATTCAGGATGGCAGCCTAACTTTGGATGTCACTGAGCAGGTTTGACCTGTTCTCTGGATCTCCATAGAAACCATTATCAGTAGGGTGTAAACCCCACCTACAGGGACCTGGCAAATGGTTGCAAGCCTTTAGGAAGAAGTAGCCCATTGTCTTTAACAGCAGGGAGTGGGCCCTACCTGTGGTGGGCCCAGAAGGTAGTCTGGCAGCTGACTGCCTTCAGGGAGTAACTTGACCATCATTTACCATTAGCTGCAAGCGGTGTCCCAAGTCTAACATGTATTTTGGGGAGAGGACTGGGGAGAACTCTTTCTATTACCCACAACTCCCCCTTTTGTTCCATATATAAAATTCAAAAGAGCCACATGGGTGACATGGTTATTTTCTAGACATTGAAGGCTGTCAAGGCAAAACTTCATGATCCAATTAATATAGCCAAAAATCCAGGCTTTTGATAAACATTTTGAATTCAGGCATGGGGGATAAAAGCCCCCTAAGGCCATCTGCTGTTGGAGGAGGGTACAAGAGGGATTGGATGCCGCAGCAGAAGAAATGGAGCCAATAGGAACGTCTGCTTCTGTAGTTAAAGCTGCGGGCCACACAGCAATCAGCTGTGTGCTTGTAAGAGACAACCTCAGATCAGCACCATATAGCAGGGTAAAGTGGGGAACAATATCATGAGAACGTGATTAGGACTTACCTACAACTCACAAGGGTGAAGGTCCCTGCCACCTCTAGAGACCTAGCCTGCCAGGCTTCTTTGCGAAAGAATAAAGGATTCGTCCTTAAACACTCTCTTCCCTTTCTTTGCTCCCCACAGTATTTGCTTTATGCACGAACTTCAAAAGTGCCATGGAGGTCGTCTCATTCTCCTTCACGCGCCTTAGCTTTCTATAGAAGCAACACGTGACAGCAAGCATCAAAATTATGATGCTGAGCAAAACAGTCAGACTGGAACTTAAGCTCTGTGAAACGCTTTTAAGCCACGTGCGTGGGAGCCAGCCTCTTTCTATGCCATCCGCCATTTGTTTAATTACCTCAGCTGGTGGAATGCCGTAGCTTAAACCCACCCTTGAATATATAGAAAATATCCTTTTAGCTACATCACATCTAAGGAAATGTTTCCCTTAAGCCCTTGCAACTGTTTTCTGATCAAATCCCAACGTGCAACGTCTTACTATATGGATGAATTATAAAAAAAATCAGTTAAATTCCAATCCCATTTTAGCATTGACAAGTCCTAAATCTTGATCTTTCAGCAAAAGAACAGTGTGTTGTAATAGTCCAGTCACTATTGTATAAAATGTTCAGTCATGATAGAGTCCAGAGTGTCCCTTAGACAGCATCAGCAATGGAAGAAATATCTCGGCAGTCAGTGATCGCCATTCTCGGCTATCGGTGAGGTCTTCTTGACTAACTTCAGTAGCAGGACAGGGTCAGGTCACACATCAGCTGCCCTCCTTTCTTCTGGGCCTTGCTGGCTGAAGAGAAATCCACCCATCTCCTTTGCCTGTGAAAATATAAACAAACAGCCCCTCCCAATCTCAGTCCACGTGGAGATGGGAGACCAGAGGGCAGGAGAGAGAGGGAGGGGAAGGGGGACAGGGGGAGAGAGGACCGGAGAGGAGAGGGGGAACTGACAAGAGCCCAAGAGAGCGGGTTCCTGAAAGTTTTATGTACTAACATTGTCAATGCAATCTGACCCAAGCACTAGAGTTCATTAATAAATTTACTCTTACCTGTTATTCTTTATACTCGTTAGGTTAAGCCCAGATATTGCAGACAGAAGCGTTGTCAACCTTTATCCCGTGGAATCAGCGGACGCTTTAGAATTGCGCGATGCTGCACTGAAGTATGTTGACATTTGAATAGCAACAGTCTGCTTGTATGCGTTACACTGAAGCATTCACTTTGAATTTCACTTGCTGTCTTTTGTTCTCTTGCCCCGACAGTGGTCAGATACAGCTGGAGGTGTCTCCGGGATGCGAGGTGAGGCTGCCTGGGGATTAAGCAGAGCCTGGTGCTGCGTTCTGCCCCAGAGTCCTGCCACCATAGGCTGTAGAGATTCGCCAGACTGATCCACAAGAGAAACGTGCACATTTGCTTGAGATACAGTGTTCTCCTCTTCTGTCTACTTAACTAGATATCAAACCAGAAAGTCAACCCCCCTGCCGTGGATTTAATATCCACTCTCAGCAATCGTGGGTTATAGAATCGAACTGCTCTATAGGATTTTCTGGGCTGTAGTCTTTATGGCAGCAGGTCACCTGGCCTTTCTTCCGCAGTGCCATGGGTGTGGGTTTGAACCGCCAACCTGTAGGCCATTGGTCATCTGCAGATCAACCCAGTCGTTGAGAGCTGTCTGCTTCCAGGAGATTCTCCTGTTTACTGTGGGACAATCTTCTACTTGAGAAAGATAATACAATTAAGAGAGTGAGTTAGGAGATGGAGGTGGGACACTTTCATGCCAGTTCTAGAGCTGAGAAATAAGTCTACTCACTGGCCAGATGAAAGTGTACCAGAACGAACTTGAAAGACAGAAGCAAAACATTTGGATGACAAGAATACAGTGAAGAAGAATCCGTTGGAGATTCTTGGCATTAGGGTGAGGGTAGGTGGGGTGGCACTGCATAGGGTGATCTTCGGGTGGCTGAGGAGAAACGAATTTTGACGTCAAACCAGAGAGGAGCCTAGAAGGTTCCAAAGAAAGAATAGGTTCCCTAAATCATAGTGTGATTGGTTTGAAATGGTGACCTGAGGGTTAAACATAGGTTCCAGTTGGTTCCATCTCATCGTGGACATTGGGTGTGGAATGGCTGGTTTAGGTTCCAAGAGTGTGGACAAATCAGAGCCCTAGAGGTATTTCTGCACATGAACTAGAGGACAACAGTTTCACCCCGTCAGAGCAGACTGACGCTGAAGCCGCAGCACGTGCTTTGCCCGGGCAGATTTGGGGCCCAGACACACTTGTGTTGGTTAAAGGCTCTCCGTAGGAAGCCATGCATTTGGGAACCAAGTCTGCGGGCTCAAGGGAGACAGGAAGGCACAGAGCTGTGTTAACAGAGATGTCGTTGGCGTGTCAAGCACAGCAACTTGGAAACCCGTCCGCTGTCGGTCTGGACAAGCGCACAGCATCTCTTATCCTCACGTTCCACAAGTGGGGATGGTGACGATACTAGCTGTAAAGATGAAGCGAGCTGATTCGCCACCCAGGCCGCCTCCTGCTAGCCGCTGTTGTTATTCCCTCCCCCCGATGGTGGTGGTGTGGTCTTTCGGCCAACTCCCGCCCCGGTGCTTTTCCCAGGGCACAGCCGCCTGGCCCTGCCCAGCAGTGGAGCAGCAGGCAGCCCTGGGCCGTGCCACCGTTCCTTGTCCCCATTCGCCCCATCTCAGGTCGGATGCTTCTCATTCTGTGCAGACCTATAGTTTCCTTTTGTTGGGGTTCATTTTTGTTATTTTGGGGGTGGGTGGGGGCAGCACACAGGAGATAGTGTTAAACGTATAAAAATGTAGAAGAAAAAAAGTTCCAAATCCACAAGGGACGCTTCTATGTCCTGTACTCAGATCTACCCGTTCTCAGCAGTTTCTCCCGTTCACACTTGTCCTTTCTTCTGTCTCGCTCACCTTCGCGGCGACACACACGTGTTTTTGTTAGTTTGATTGCTTTTCCTTTGAGTCAGCAGAGGCGAAATTTCATCAACAATACCTCTTACGCCTTAACTGTTTCAGTGCAAATTTGCATTGCTATGACATTTTTCTCTACTGTCTCACCCACATTTCAAATGGGTCTATTAAGCAAGACTGTCCGTTACAGTGTGTTCCTTTGACAGCCAGGCTCTTTTGGGAGGTAGCTCTGGGTAGACTTGAACCTCCAACCTATTGCTTAGCAGCTGAGCATGGTGACCATTTGCACCACCCCGAGTCTCCGTGAAGAAAGCAGAGCTCCACAAAGCAAAAGCTAGCGTGTGCCCATTGTGAGCTGCTTCTCCTGTGTTTCTCTAGGATTTTGCTCCCACTCTCTGCTCCTCTCCTTTTACACTCTCTTCCTGAAGTGCCTGGTCACCCGCATGAGCTCAGCGAGCCCTCCCATAAATGATTACGGCCTCTGGAACCCTCGCTCCTGCCTGGAATCT